GCAGAATGAATTCGAAGATAATGAAAATTTTGATACTCAAAGCGAAGACTTTCAAGATGATGAACTTCAAGATGAAGGTAGTAGGTGGAAGTGAAATTGTTCAGTTTATTGAAAACAGGCCTTCGAAATGTAGTGCAGGTTTTTGGATGAAAAAAAATGGACGAGATTTTATATTAACAGCAGGACATTGTGCCAAATCCGTTACTTCACCTCAATTTTATTTAGGAAACATAAATAATCTTATTGGTCCAATGGTGGAATATTCAGTCTCACCAAATGATATGGGTTTTATCAAAAAAAAACTCAAGAATCTTTTTTTTGGCGCGAATATTCTAAATAGAGATCCGACTCGTATAGGAGCCGTAGAATACTATATTACGGGTAGTTCAGATATAACTAGTTGTGGTATTCATGTGTGTAGATCTGGTATATCAGGTAATGCTTGTGGTGGTGTGGAATCGATTTATCGAAGCCCATAGACAAGAGGGTGTCTTTTTAACATCCTTGGCTGCCAGTTATGGTGATAGTGGCGGGTCTATGTATCGAGTAATCGACGAATCGTTATCTTTGGTGGTTGCAGTCGGTATACACATAGGAAGAAAGATCACGAACACTTCTTTAGCAGTAGGAGTACCACTACGCAAAGCTTTTGAAGCTGGTTATACACTTGTTCATTTTTAGAACAATTATTCATTTATAATGATTTTTTTTGGCAACTATACATAAAGATTATTTAAAGAAGTTTTTTTTAGAATAAAAACAAATTAACTAACAAGCTTAATATATTTTATTTAATGCAACAAGTTTTTTGAAAACTATTTAAGAACTTCTTTTACATGATTTGTTTTTTATAAGAACTAGATAGCTGCACGACGTCATCGTGCAAAAACAGGAACGGAAAACCTAAAAAAAAGAAAACAATTGATTATTGACTTGACTTCTAGATAAAATGTAAGACTTTGCGTTTAACCGATTACTATACTCTTCAACTGATTGCTTTTTTATCAATCAAATCAATCAATGTGACATTTATTTATGTTGATTTTTATTATCGATATGCAATATATCCGTCAAGTAATTATCTAAGTGTACAATGCACTCGGATAATGTGTACCAGGTTTGTGACGCAGACAAAATTTTTACAGTAATAAAAAAATTTTAGAGCTTATTAGTTCAAAAAATTGCCAAAATTTAGACATTAGTTCGAAAATTGCATATCTTCTATACGCGAGTTCTCAAACATATTCAAGACATGGATATTTAAATTTGAAGTCAGATTATATATGCGGTGTGTGCATTTGGTGATTTTCATTCTGTTGGTCAATCCGCAGGTCACCCGCGATTTACTTATTTGCGCGGGTAACACAAACCAAAAAAGGAATCAAATTTTGTAAATAAACCAAGTGCGTAAAATAGAAGTTTAGAATTAAGACGTTAGGGTTGTGAGCTTTAGCGATAAGTTGGGTTTTTTATATGTAAAATTTCATCCCCGTTATTTTTTA